GGTTGCAATGAGATTGTTTTCAAAGTTTAAACTAAGTATTACCTCACTGAAATCTTCTTCTCTAGGTTTGTATTTTCCACAACAAAAGTTACAACAACAATTACAGCAGAACAGACATCCACAGCAGCAGAAGAAACAGCAACATGTCGATAAACCACACAGTAAAAACGTCCACTGAAATTTATCAACTTTCAAGGTCATTTCATTTAAGTAACTAATGTTCAGATGAAGAAGAATAAACGAGACATCAAACGGATTCGTATATCCACAACAACCTTAAACTTTGAAAAGTCTTCCAGATGAATTCAAACTAATACTGGTATAAGCAGAATAGATTCTGCAGAATACTAATGATAATAATAAAACCAAATATAAAATTTTTGCGTCAATACAGTTGACACAAGGCAACATGCACATAAAAGACTTGAGGAAGGTCTGAAAAGTGATCAGATGAAAAAGGGGGCGAAGTAACCTTAAACCATGGTTTGAATGCAAGTCGCATAACGGTATCATCGTCACCAAACTGATCCAAGAGTCGCAAACCCATTTCGCCATATTCATCATAAACACGTCTTTTCGATGGATTCGAAAGAATTGTATGCGCATGGTTTATCTCTTTGAACTGAAAAACATTAGAGAACGTCATCATTTCTGTCCGATGCCTAAACTACGAACAGATACCGTTAAATCCGAATAAATCACTGAATGAATATAGTGTCGCATTGAATGTAACCAACCTTATCGGTTTTTTCTGGATCACCTTCAAGATTCTTATCAGGATGATATCTTAACGCAAGCTTTCGATACGCCCTTTTTATTTCCTCATCAGTGGCATTCTTTTGCACACCCAAAACTTCATACAGATGAGTTCCTTTTGCACTGAAACCAACAATAAATTTAAGATCAACACGTCAAATAAAAATAAGAAATCACCAATTTGACTGAATGTAGTAAATCTTCATCCCACTTTACTTAAATAAATCTACTGTCTAGCAATAAGGCTTAATTGACCGGACTTTCATAAATTTGGACATCGTTAGAGGTTTCGTNACTAAATGGCAATTGAAGAAACGAATTGCAATAATGCAAAACTAACGATTCTTGTCTTTTGTAAGCGCGTTGCCGAGGACTCGAGTTCCTACTGGCTGAAGGCGATTCAGGATTATCTGAGTGGTTGACTGACGGCATCAGGGATGTGCACGAACGTGATAATTAGACAGTGTTCTTAGAAATGGCGGCTGATGAGAGCGTTCTGTTAGCACTGAAATGATTACGGTTCATTTACAAAAATTTCACACGTCTGGACAAAATCGACCCTTTTAATGTGTTGCGTGAACCTTTTCTTTACGCTGTGCAAATTAACTAATTGTCTGCTGGGCACGAACTGCACGCTCAAAACAACATTCCATCTAAAGTTCTGAAAAAAATCTCAACTGTAAATTTAAAACAAAAATTTCATTGCGTCAATAATCTTTTTTCTTGCTGTCACAAATAGCCTATAGGCGTGCCCTAAACCAGCATCAATACAACACATACAGAGAGAGAGAGCGAGCATTGCATGTCATCTTCATGCACACAAGACATTTTAAATCCTGCTAATTAGTTGCTTATTAGTGATTACGATCGCTAAAAGTTAGGCAAAAATTATTTCTGTTTGTGTTCATAAGAATATGCATGGCGTTTGCAGAATGTACTCATTAAGAGCAGGTGGAATGCCTCTCTAATGAATTAAATATTGACATCACAAGCTCAATTGTACATTCACACTTTGATACGATGGTTCGTTTTCATAACGAATAGTTTTTCATTTGAGCATGAAAAATGGTGAATGCGTGGGAAGCAGTTTTTAATTCATAATCAAGTGGCAATTCAAGCGAAAAAAGTGCAAGTAAGTCAAGGTTGGATGAATTACTGAATAAAAGCAATTGCGAAGAATAGGCATCTACTCAAACATCTATTGAAAAAGGGCGAAAAGTGCAAATAATCAGCGATTAATTCAGCTTAAGTTTCGGTTCATTCACAATGAGCACTGATTAGTGTGTTCGAAATGAATTGCTCTGAAGAATTTTCGCGTGTTTTCTTCATTCGAAACCATTTGCACTCGTTCATATCGGTTGTGCAGATTAGATGTTCGGTTCGAAAGATTATCGTTCCTTTCGTCGATTTTCACTTCATACTGCTCACAAGCTGTACAGTGACAGTGTTTCATTACAGTGACTGATATGGTTCGGACATTCATTTTCGGTCAATTGAAATTGCTGATTTTGATCGATCATCTTGAAAAATTGAGAAGTTGATGAGAAGAGTTGAGTCGTTGCATGTCGAAAGGATTTCTTTTGTACAATATAAGAAGCAAAAATATTTTGCGTGATGAAGTAGCAGGTGGTTTTCACTGATTTTATGCCTTACCATTTCATTTCGTGTCTCAGAGACGATGCAGTTTCTGTGCGCTCAGCAATGATCGTTCAGAATCGCTACTTATCACCAATATTTCATTTTTCCAGTTATCATTTTCTCAGGTTTTACTGATAAAATAGTTTGATGACCATCACGTCTGCAATTGCCTGAAGCCGGTAGTGAATACTGACTTTTTTGCATGGTTTCATTTTCGAGGCACATGATTCAGATTGCTTGTTCCTTTCTCAAATTGCCATTGAAAGAATCAAAGTTAAATGAAACGAAAATATTCCCATATTCCCCTTCGGTACTACTGTTGTATGTGCATAACAAGTTCAGAGATGGCTTCGGACGAAACGTCACATTTGTAATTACAGATTAAATGAGAGCATAAATCAATTGCAAGGTATGAATAGAGCGAATGACGCATGAAAATTTGCCGTCATTTGTAAATGATGTGCTCGATAATGACGAGTAGAAATAAACTCTTCTTTTTACGGCAATCATAAGCTGACGAATCCGCCGCACGTAATCACTGTGTGCTGCATGCTCTTCAAATGGGTCAAAATAGTGCAGATGTTTGAGCAACCGGTGTTGGGTCGGTGATCACCGACGGTTTTTCGATGCTCGCCAACCGTCGGTGAATACCGAATTGCGGTGATTGCCGGCCGACCAGTCGATGACCACTGACCGTAACCGACAAGGCTTGCTCGGTCGGTGACGGTGGCAAACCGATCGGCAACCGACCGATGCTCAACAAAATTATGCAGTCGGTGAATACCGAGTTGCGGTAATCACCGTTGGGGCTCTTGGTCGGTGACCACCGAGAAAAATCATGCGGTTCCCAACACTAGGACCAACAAAGTTTGACTGGTTCCGACCAAACTTTCGATTTTCCATGATTTTGATGTTGCGCTTGGCTAAGAAACAGCCGAATAATTTCATGATCGCCATCACCCCAAAAAACACCCGAATTTATGAAATCGATTCGATCGATTTTTGACCTCATTTAAAATTTGTTCCGATTGTAATCGTTCAGCTTCATTATTTGTTTCCACCTGTACAATCACGAAGATTACATCCGCTTGGAATGTCTAAGATTTCGTTTATTCCTTGAATTCACAATACGTCATATTGGGGTTGTGCGAGGGCGCATAGAAGTCGGGGATGGGGAGAATCGAGGACATTCCGGGGATGGCGACAGTCTTCAAAATATGGTCGGGAATGGGGGCCCCGAATTCAGGGATTCTCGACACAACACTACGTTACATCAATTTTAGGTTGGTATGCGATGATATCTGAGCAAACATCTTTGTGCGGTGATTGACTTTCATTAGTGGTCAAGCAAGTGCCCAATGTCATTGTCGATTGATGTATCTTATCCAGATTAAAGATGATTATGTAGCGTTTTTTAGCACAATCCACAGTCATGGCTAATAGTTTTTTCAAATTTGTGACACCAGACGGTATACCGGCCAACATCAGCAGATCATGTTCATATGCACACGATGGATTCGGTTGTGGTGAATTTCCTATTCATTGATATCATAATGAAAATTTCATTGTTTTTCCAACACCGTTCTATTCTTTATTCAACGTTCTGCTGCCATTTTGAGTTGCTATCCTCAGGGAGAATCTCTTCTTCGACGAAGATCTTTACAATGCGGAATTTTCCGAATTCATCCTTCATTGCGTTTTGATTTTGACTGTTAGAATTATGTTGAAAATTTTCAGTCACAGTCATTTCTTGTAGATGAACAAAAATCACTTCAAAAAACTCTCCTGCATCATTTTAAGCGGCCTAAATCACCAAACATCATTTCAGGAGCTTTCTTCAACAATATAATGAATTTATATATGATTGTCGCAGCACCTTCAGGATTTTTCGCGTCTGCAATCGTGTTGTTCATTTGCTTCACTCAACTACAACTCACTGATTCAGTAAATTTATATACAATACACGTATTCGTGCCGCTGTTATTGCTCAGTTTTATTCAGATGATTGTCGAAATTGAAGTTTACGCTGCCGAATATGGACTAAACAGTCAAGTTCTAACGTAAGTTGACCATCAAATGAGCTGATTTTTTGATGAACGCTTCTTCTGACAATGAGAAAGAGAGGAGCTCAGCGATTTGACAACTCGATCGCATTGAAATTAAAAGCACTTTTGGTGTTAAGTGAGTGCTTTTAACACCAACAGAAAAACGAACATAATTCATCGATTATAATTATAATTAATTCATTATAAGTAACCATTTTTAAAATTCCACATATAGCACAATTCACTGATGTTACTATAATAATTATATCTGCACCGAAAAATCGCGAACATGCATTCGTTTCCATCAGAAATTCAGGAAAGTTCGGCACTAATTGCATTGATTGTCAGTATCACGTCAGCGACTGTCAGTTCAGGGCCCCTTCAATAATCAGTTAATTTTTTTGAAGTGATTATAATCAGCTTTTGAATTCATCGAAGGAAAAAGGCACCGTAGTTTGTTGCGGAACTTTCCTAATTACCACATGGAATACCTAATTGAGAGAATTGTCATATGAATTGTAAATATGAAAATTTGTACTGTTGAAATAATCGAGCGTATCGCTGCAGCTTGGATAACAGTCATTTGAATATGAATGAGTAAACACCTGGTCTAGGGATGTGCTGCACTGCACTTGTATTGCAATAAGCTGAATTTCATCGAGATGACCATCTCCNTTTGGCATGATCAACTGCTTAAACTTTCGTATTCTATCGGTGTTATTGATAGGATCAATCTATTGTCTATACAAGTATCCAGTCGCTCATCGAAAATACTTCAGTGACAGGTAATCGATCTGCTAAATTTATGCCACTCTAGTAGACCATCCAATTAACTCATACCGACTGCCATATAAGTATGAATGTTTTGTAACATAAAAGTATCGTATGAACCACAATGCAGACATTCCAGAAGCGATAGTGTTGCAGTATGTCGAACGAAATCTAAGAGACTTTTTCTCGACGATTCCTATTCGAAGACGTTATATGTCCACAAAACAACTGAAAAGCTCTGAATATGTAAAAGGGTCAATTGGATAAAAAATTTATGTGCAAGCTCAGGGCTCAAGAAAACAACAGTACTGAGGCAACATACCTTAGCAAACTGTGATGAATGCATTCTCGCCATTCATTTACAATTTTTTCATTTTGGCCTTGAAGCACTGCTTCAAGCACGAGGTGGAATTCGATTTTGATAGCAGTTATCAGAGTGGGACGATTAAAGTCCACGATCATTCAACCAGCAAGAAAAATTACCTCGATAAAAATTACCTCGACCATTTTGAAATCAAATGAGTTTTCAAATGAGTGTTCCATATGAAGCAATCACATGAATCCCGCTTCTCAATTTATTTGAAAGTCGAGGTATACTTTGAGAAGTTCTTCAGAAATTGGCGTTATTATCTGATCGTATGCGACATAATTTTGTTCACATTCGGCACAGTGATGATGGTTTTAGCCGTTGAATTACCAAAATACATATACCAATGGGCTTTGATGCCGGTGTTTCTCGTCTTCTTCATTCCAACAATTGTGATGACTTGTTTGGTACCTTTCTTTTTGAATTCTGGTTATGTTACTAGTTCATATTTCATATGCACAACACCTGAAGCTATACTGAGCACGGTTCAGGACGACTNAAATTCTCCCAAGTTCGATTGATCCTTCGATTGACAACAACTGATTATCGTTGCTTCAGGCTGTTCAATCGGCCGTTCAGTACTATCGAAACGGTAGTCGCAATAATTGTCA